CTGGCGTCTTATGGCCCCTGGCGTGCGATATGCGAATCAATACGGCCCCTCCTTGATCCCGACGCGAGGTCTGCTGCCGAAAAGTATAAAAGGCGTTGTCGCCCTCGTTTTATCCCTTTTGTTGCCGCTCCACAGGTCAAGTCGCGCTATCGCTTCCACGCTCGTTTTGATGTTTTGTCTTCACCCGCCACCTCCTTCCACCATAGCCCGTTCGCTCTTCGTAGCTCGATTCGCTCCTTCTGCCACTTCCTTCCGCCAACACTGAAGTTGCCGCATTGTGTTCGGTTCGCTCTCCATAGCTCGCTCTTCGTGGCTGGATTTCCATTCGCCATAGCCGGTTCGCTCTTCGTAGCTCGATATCCCTCCACCATAGCTGATTCAGTCGTCGTACATCCATATCCGTCCGACGTTGGTCGCTCGCGCAGCGCACAACGAAGGTGAGATGCCGTAATTTCAGTTGTCCTATTCTGTGTGCGATGTCCGAAACAGATKCCCAGATGCCCTGTCTCTACTTGCACGCTATAACGCCGCAGTTGCCGCAYGTTGAACCCCGAATCAAYTCCCGGTTTCGTTGTTTCGCCACCACACGTGTTCTGATATMTTTTCTTYACCCTCCATCTCCGTCCGCTATAGTCGATCTGCGTTTTGTAGCTCGATTACCTTTCGCCATAGCCATGATATCGTTTGTATAAAGCTGCTCGATTCCCTTCGCAACTTATAGTCGTCACTTCGCATGGTGAACCCCGAATCAATACCCTGTTTTTGTTGAACACCGAATCAATTCCCTATTTTCGCTCACCTGTCCCTTGTGAGGTCGTCAACCAGACATATATATATATATATATATATACTCGTCAGTGCCGCTCCTAGAAGACCGAATCAATTCGCAGTTTTGTTCATCCATCCCAGCGAGGTCGGAACTGATCCACAACTGCGATCCAATTCGCAGTTTGCGACCAACACTGCAGGAGGTGTCACAACTTCGAGGTAATTCGCAGTTTTCCCAAGATAAGACGCCTTTTTTTTTTTAAGTCAGTTCTTTATTTCCACAATTGCGAGTTAGTTCACACTTTATRACCAACAGTGTCCAACACTGTTGGAGGAGTTGTTGCCCTCCGTATCCGAAACTCGGAGTTAGTTCACACTTGTAGACACCCATGTCTTGCATCTTTCAGGTCCTCATTTCCACAACTYCGAGCCGCATGTTGAACCGCGAATCAATTCCCGGTTTTGTTGTTTCGCCACCGCACGTGTTTTGATATCTTTTCTTCACCCTCCACCTCCGTCCGCCATAGCCGATCCGCGTTTCGTAGCTCRATTACCTTTCGCCATAGCCATGATATCGTTTGTATAAAGTTGCTCGATTCCCTTCGCAACTTATAGTCGTCACTGCGCATGGTGAACCCCGAATCAATACCCTGTTTTTGTTGAACACCGAATCAATTCCCGATTTTCGCTCACCTGTCCCTCGTGAGGTCGCCGGCCTGACATGCATATATGTATATATATATATATATACAGAATTGCCAGGCCGAACGTACGGAGGCCCCTAAGCTGACCCCCGAACGTTCAAGTGTTCGGGCTCCCGTATAGGGCCCGAACTCGAAGGGGTTCGGACCCCGCAAAAAAATATTTTGGTACCTAAAAATTATTATTGTTTTCAGATTTTTTTTTTGTGAGTTCTCTGTTATGTAAGATACCTGTCTATCAATTTTGAAGTCATTCTGTGCAGCTAAACAATAATAACAAATCGGCAAAGATGGTGGTGTCAAACTTGCTTTCCCACTTAGTAATTTGTTTTTTTTTTCTTTTCACTTTTTGTTTTTTCTTTGTTTCGGGGCCTGAAAAGAATTATTATTTTTTCAAACTTTATTTGTAGGTTCTCTATTATGTAAGATACATATGTAAAAAATTTTATGGCATTTGACAAAGCCAAAAAAAAACTTGCTCGCCCACGCAATAA